CCAAAACTGAACATCAATCAAAGCCTGTACTGTGGATATTCAGTTCTGATTTTCCCATATATGAACTTCACATATAGATGAATGGATCTGGAAGAGTCAGACGGGTTCTTCAGAAAAACCTTATGGTTCATCTGATTATTGAAAAGCATAGTTACATCTGTCCTCAGTAACATCATGCACAGAATTAGCATTGTAATGATTTATCTAGGATAAAATCAACATAGTTAACCAAAATGATTCTTATTATTTTTATAGTGAACAGGATATTGTTGTTATTGGTATATACCAAACTAGCCTTTATTTACCTGCCAAATAGTTAACAGCATTCTCAGGACACGGATTATTTGCTACTCTTTTTATTACTTTGCGGGTTTTGGAGAACTGATTATCTGTAACATAATAAGCTACAAGATGGAGAATTTAGATCAACCTTCCCCATTCTAGGTATGCTGGGTTTGCCATCCAAAACTCTCTTTTGGCCCGGTGAAAGGAAGTTCAAATGGCACCTTCTAGAGGCCATCTGGTTAGGGAATGTCTCTGCAAGTAATTCAATATACAAGGTGCAGATTTTATTTAAAGCATGTCACATTTTTAGCAGTACATAAATGATCATCCAGTGCAACAGAATGTCTTGATTTCACTAGTGTGTTGCTCAAAACAGCAGCTTCCTGGTAGTTGCCTACAGATACTATTAGAGTATGTGACACATAGGCTGGGTTCACACTTTATGCTGTGTGGTTGACAAGTATGATTCATACAAGTCCAGCCCAAATCAAACTGACCTCATTTTAACTTAGTTCAGTGTGCAAATTTCCATTTCAAGTTTGAAAGAGAAAGTGCCCGAGGTTTCAGAAGTCAGAAAATACTGTCATTGTTCCCTTCTTCACAAAACTCTGCTTTTCTGTGGGGAGTTACTTCCTGGCTTTGGAAATGATTATGAGATCATCACACTCTACTGTCTGTATTACACTCTTCTCTTCTGTAACCAGCCAGTCTTTGGGCATCGAAAGACCCTCCAAAAACACTGTGTAGTGAATCTTTTTCTATTATATCAGCCATTTAAATGATAGGTCCCTAGGTTTCCAACCAATAGAATAATATCCCATCTGTGATAATAAACTAAAAGGGGAAAACATGAGACATTGATTCAATGGCTACTGATGCTAGAACAGGATAAAATAAGGAACCTGCAACCTGTTGAAGGATTATGTTGGTGTTTCCTCTACCAATCACGTGAACCTTCACATAACCTTTTTTGCTATGGCTGCAGTGTGTGATTTATGTCTAGGAGACTTCCCAGGTCACATACAGTTCAGGACAGATAATATGAATACCCTGGTCCCAGAGAGCTGTAGGGAAAGTTTAGTATTTTGCTGACCACTGTGGAATTTTGTATGTACCTTACTTAGATGAAAGAGATTAATATATCCTATAATGGAGTCAAAACTTTGTTTTAGTTTTCATCTAGTTTTATTGCTGAATAAATAAAATGTAAAAATCATCTAGATTGAATTTTGGAGCTGTCAGCTACAGAGGTCATTCTGGAATCAGTTTCTCTTCAGTTAGCTAGCTGCATGTTATATGCAAGTGTGTGTAAATGAATCTTTATTTTCATGAAAAGAAATTCAGAAAGGAAACACCTGCTTGAAACTCCACAGAGCAATAATGCAGAATGAGGGATGGTTCAGAATGGAGGAACTATGAGCAAGGAGTAGATTAAGTTCCTCTTATCCTATAGTCCCCCTATGAACTGCTTTTTTTCTTTTAAAGGAAGCAACCCATAAAAAAAGTTACACACTTTTGCATATACAGAGATGGACTGTGCATAGTTGACATGATTGCTCCTAAACACTCTCTTTCCTCTTTGATCAACCCTTTGGCTTGCTAGGGAGCTGAGAAGAATGAACAGGGCAAACCTCTCAAAGGGGCACCACAATATTGAGAGAACTCAGGCACTAAGCCCCACCTCAGGGTGCAGCAACTGAAAGCAAGCAGGCAAAAGAAAGAGGAGGGTCATGTGGCTGCTTCTCCTCCCCGCCCCCATCCACCCAGCAGCAGAGCTCCAATAGGGTCTCCCCCTAACCCCCATAGTCAACCAAAGTATCTCATCCCCGCTCCTGGATGACTGTTAGATTCAGATGAGAGCTCCTCTCCTCACCACTTCCATTCAGAATAGAGTCATAGGTGGTGCAATGCGTTCCTCAGAAATCCTGCCTGAAAGTCTATTCTGTTAGGCACCCCTAAGATCTGGGGTGTAAAAATGGAGATGACCACTAGAAGACTCTCTCATCCCTCCTTCTTTCACAAGCAGAAAGGAGGAGAAGACCAAGAAGAGGAAGAGAATTGCCAGCTATCATTACCAGGGAAACTGCCAGAGCTTTGGAGGGCTCCACTTCCAGTTCATGCTGCTGCTGCTGCTAATGCAACAACTGACTTGGGACCAGCAGCAGAGGAAGGGGTGGCAGGAGCATTTATTTTCTTTTCTTGTACCACTCTTCCTCTGTGGCTCCTACTGGGGTCCTACACTTGGGCCACCATGACTGGGTCTTCAAAAATCTGGAAGACTGTTAGACATAGAGGCAAAGAAAATTCTACAGTGTTTTGCCTTCTAGGCTACATTCCAGGGCACTGATGGGTTCCCATAGGTCTCTGACCTACAGTGTCCCACAGCATTCTATATTATCCCTTATGCTGTTAAACAACTACGTATGACAGCTGGGGTAAAATTTTTGCAGCCCTGTTATAATAGCCCTGCCCTGTGCAATCAGATTTCTTGAGTGTACAGAGCAAGAAGTAGGAAACAAGAGGGAGACTGGTGGTACCTCCTGTGCCTGGAGCCCCAAGGCAGCTGCCTCTCCTCCC